GAGGGGGGGGGGGCAGTAATGAGTTAAAAAGACAATGGGGTTTTTAAAAAAAAAAAAAAAAAAAAAAAAAAAGTCTTTTTCAACCAGCCCAACTTTAACCCCCTCTCCTGGACCGGGAGCCTGGGGGGAGGGGCCTCCGGGGAGCTGGGGTGGGCGCACAGGCCCGGCTGACCCCGAGCTCCAGGGGGCCTCAGCCGCCTGCCCGCGGGGACGGGCAAGGGCAGCTCCTCCCACAGCTAAGACGAGCCAAGCATGGTCCTGCCCGGCCTGACCTTTGGTGGATTTCACATACGTATGTATGGACATACGCACGCACACGCACACACACATCTGCCTCCCCGGCTGCTGGTGGGCCTGACGGTTAGGAGACTAAACTCCACGTCCTCTTTCTCCTGGTGGAGCAGAGAGGCCGCACCCTGGGGCCGTGTTTGGTTTGTGCAGTGTCTGGCCAGGGACAGGGATGCTGGGACTTCCTCCCAGCCCAGGGCCTGGAGTCTTCTGTGGGCACGGCCCGCTGGGACGCCACACGCGCTCCCCAGTCGTGAGCCCTCACTGCCAACGCCTCTGTGTCCCCCGCACATGGCACGTAGCAGGCACGCAAGCTGTGCTGGCTGTGCCAGAGGAGACTGCGTCTTCCTCTTGGTTCTGGATGTCCAGCGCCCGCCCTGGCCCCCGCAGGTCCCCCGGACGACTTCTCCAGGCATTTCTGCAGGACACCGAGGCTGAGGCAGAGAAGGGGCTCCAAGACGTTCTTCCAGCTTCCACCTGTGCAGGCCTGGCCAAGCCCCACAGTGCAGGACAGGTGTCCCCCTGTCCATACCAGGAGGAGACGGAAGCTCTGGCTGATGGACTGAGCGGCTCAATCCCCACAGTGAGCAGGTTCACACCGTGTCTGCCCGTCCACCTGAGGTGGGAAATCTTGGCCACGCTGCCTTCTGAGCTGGACCCAGGAGCCTGGAAGATGGAAGGTGCTGCCTCGTGCCGCCCTGTGTTTGCCACACCCCGACCTGCGCTGGGTGGAGAGGGTGTGTGGATCCTTCCGGCCTCATGGTGGCAGCTGCGCGTGCCTGGGACAGGCCCTCGGGCCTGGGCTCACAATGGCAGGCTCAGGGGAGCTCCGGTGACTTTGCCTTGCCTGCTGATCCCCAAACCTGAGTTCCAGCTGGGAGCCTGGGGTCCACTGAAGGCCGTGCTGGACCCTGGCCTCAGAGCCCACTCGGAACTGCGCCACACAGCGGATGAGGTTGCTGAAGACCACGGACCACCGGGCGGGAACTGGCCCTCGTTCCCAGCTGAAAATGACCCTTCCCTTCCTCCTCTTTCCGCCGGTAATGAGAAGAGGGGTGACCTTTCCTTCCTGCCTTCGGTCCCAACACAGTGGCCCGGGGACATGGAACAGAATTAGAGTCCAGCCTCCAGAAGGGGGGCTCTGCAGCTGGAGGGGTGACCCTACCTGGCACGCCGTCCACTCTTTGCCTCAGTTTCCACATCTGTCCAGCAGGCATGGCCCCCGCTCCCTGGGATGGCTATGCTCAGACCTCTGCTGTCCTTGGGGTGTCTCAATCTGCACTCTAGCCCCTATAAGGGTGGGGACACTCTTCTGACTAAGGACCAGGGACAGAGAGGGAAGACAGAGGCCCCGCCGGGCTAGCAGCGCGCTCCAGCCGGCCCGCTTCTCCCAACAGGACTGGGCCAGGCCCGGGGCTGGGGGCTGCGGCTTCATATGCAGCCCCCGCTGGAGCTGAACAGGCCCCCCTCCTGCCCACCGTGGGCCAAGACTCAGGAGAGCTCTAACTTGGATGTCTTGGAGTGATTCTGAGTTTCTCAGACTTCACCTTTTCAACTTCTCAACTCAGCAGGAGATACGGGAGGTCCCCGCAGGAGTCCTCTGCACTCCAGTCCCAGGCACACCCGTGGACACCTGCCCACGGCAGACGCACGTGTGGGCGTTTGCACACGTGCACACCACCTACTGACAGAGGAGGAGCCGGGCCAGCTGCTCCCACTCACGTATCCCCACCACTCCTTCCTTGCTTGCCCTGTTTGGGGGTCCCCCCCCAACCATCTCCGGATCCTGCACAAGCCTCGGGTGAGCCCTGCCCCAGCTGGCGCCTCTCGAGGGCCAGAGCAGGCCCTGCCAGCCTGGCCACGGACAGCTTGGGAGCCGCATCCAGACGGGGCGCCCGGCGCAGCTCTTCCCAGCATTCCTGGCTTCTCAGCGTTGGGACAGCAGGCAGACAGGGCTCTGCCCGAGGCCTCACACCGTGGCCCTAGCAACGCTGAGGGTGACAACAGCCAGCACGTGGGCCAGGCCCCACCCCCAACGCTCTGTGGGTATTGACTCTCACAGATTCTGGAGGGCAGCGCTAGTCCCACCTGCATCTGGGGAGCCCAGGCCCAGAGGTGTAACTCGACCAGGGCCCGGAGCCGAAGACCCCGGAATCGGCGTGCTGCGCGGTCCTCTGATGGGCGCTGCTTGGGAGGCAAGCCCGAGTGTGGCCCCCACCCCAGGAGAGGCAGCCGCTGGCCCACTGGCTGCTACACGTGTGGAGCGCCCATTGTGGGACAGCAGGGGCTGCTTTGGAAACTGGCCGCCAGGAGCCACCAGCTCTTCCCCAACAGGTGCAGGACGTGGCAGGCTTCCAGTTGTGCCCCGGGTAACGACAGCAGACCCCGCGGGCCCGGGAGATGTCCTCTCCGTGGGGACTGGTGTTGGGCAGCTCGGCTGGTGAAGGGCTGGGGGCCTCGGGGTCCATGGACAGTGTCCACTGTGACTTGACTGATCTGCGGCAGGAGCTAAGGCTCAGTAGTCGCACCTGTGTCAGAGGTCCTTGTGGGTCCTTGATCTCAGGCTGGCAGGGCTCTGGTGCCACTGACACGAGCAGGGGGCCCAGCTGAAGGAAGACCACGTGGAGACACGGGGCGAGGCCTCGCGGCTCAGCAGGGGGCCGGGCTGGGGGCCAGGCACCGCCCCCCCCCACCCCGCCTCTAGGAAAGTCTGCCGCCCCTCTCTTCCTGGGCCGTCAAACCACAACTGCCTCCCAGGTCCCAGAGGCTCGTGCCGGGCCGAGGGCACATCCCCAGGTGCTGTCTCCTGGATGGATATGTGGTTGCAGGTCTGGGGCAGCTGCTCTGGGAGCGATGACAAGCCGGCTGCTGGGTGTCACTGTCCCAAGGGGAGAGGCTGGCCCTGAGCCTCACCTCTTCCCGACAAGCCCATCTCGGCCGGGGCACGGCGGGTGCGGGAGAGCTTTGCCCCGACCCAGTCCAGCACATAGGGGCATGTCTCCGGCATGTTCCGGCAGGCAGCTGGCGTTGGCCCGTCTTCCTCTGGAGGTCGCAGGGGGGCTGTCCCAGCCTGGGGCTTTGGCGGTCATCAGGGCTCAAACACCCACCTTACCGCCCCTCTCACCTTCGGGGCAGGGGGCGCTTTCCCGGGGATTCTCTTCACGGGGGTTTAGGACCCGAGAGGACTCTCTGCCTGGAGTCCTTCTCGGCTCGGAATCCCCAAACAAAAATGGCAACGGTAACGATAAACAGAAATCAGCCAGACCTCGGAGCTCCGCCCTTCACATGGCCATGCACCCGGGCACGCAGCTCTATCTGGCCCCTAAGCAGAGAGTGGACGGCTGAGGCCCTGGAGTGGCTGCGCTGAGGCCACTGCTACCCGAGGGGGCTGGGCAGGACCCAGAGAGGCCAGAACCTGCCCCACTGCACAAACTCAAACACGGGCCCTGGGCCCGCAGCCTGCAGAGGCCCCGAGCAGTCTGGTTACGATTAGCTGGGTGTAACAAGCCACGGGGAAAACCAGTGGTTCTCAACCACGGCAATTCTGCCAACCAGGGGTGGTATTTCTCCCCCAGAGGGCACCTGGCAATTTGGGGGGACGTTACTGGTTGTCATGACTGGGGGGTGTTACTGGCATCTAGTGGGCAGAGGCCAGGGATGCTGCTAAGCATCCTGCACAGAGCAGTCCCCACGGCCAGGAATGATCTGGCACAAGATGTCAACAGAGCCGGGGTTGAGAAGCCCTGCTTGACTCTCACGCTGGCCATGCAATTCGGATTTTCACTATGGAAAAAAAAAATGACAAGACAGAAACAAAGAAAAAAATCCAACACAAAAAAAAAAAAAAAAGAAACAAAATTCTGGGAAATGAATAAGCTGAAGGGAGGGATGGGGTCATCAGCAGGTTCTCTACGGGGCCCAGAGCTGGTCAAGCGGTGATGCCTGAGGCCGGTGGGATGGGCGAGGCCCTGACGGGGAGGGGTCCGCTGGGGCCTGGAGAGGAGGAGGCCGGTCTCAGCCTGAGAGGGTCTTCGCCAGCAGAGCCGCGGTTACGTCAGGCTCCTGCGGCCGGGACAGCTGGAGCCTCGGGGTGGGAGCCTGGGGTCCTGGCACAGCCACGTGCCCCCGTGTCTGGCTCCCTCCGCTCCGCCGCAGCCCCTGAGCTTCCTCATGCGAGAAGCTGCCTGGCTAGACACGCCTAGTGGGGGGCTGAAGAGCCACCGGCGTGCATCCCCTCACCCCGTGGCTCCTGGCTCCTCTGACCAACGGCGCTGGCACGCAAAGCAGGCTGCAGCAGCGCTCCCCTCCCCCCTCCCCTCCCCAGCCGAGGTCAGGCAGGGCCGCCAGCAGAAGCCCCCTGCTCACTGATGCTCCACGCACAGCCCCCGCCCCAGGAAACCTGGGCGGCTCGAGGGGTGCTGATTGCTTGCACGCACGCTAAGAGGCTGGCAGCGAATCAGACACACACAGAAACAAAGCAACAACAACGAGAATCACGTTTCCGCCAGGGCTTTCCCCTGACGTCCCAGGGCCAGGCGTGGCCGCATCTCTGGGCTGGACGGAGGCCCAGGTTTCCCAGGAAGGGAGACCTCTGTGGGGAAAGCAAGACCTGGGAGAGTGGGAGACAGGTCCCAGACACAGCAGCAAGGGCTTCACTCCATCTCATTCATCAGCATGAAGCACAGGGACGGGGCAGCACAGAGTACAGGGGACACACCCATCAGCGGGGCCCGACTCACTCTGCGTGAGAGCAAATTTCAGAAAACAAATAAAAGAATAAAATAAATAAGCAAGGGAGACCAGGGGTAACCTCCCGGCTGTCCTGCCTGTGACCATTCGGCCCCGTTTCCTTTGGCCTCTGGGGGACACTCTCTCCGCGTGGCCACAAGCTGCTGTGGTTTGGGGACGGCCACCCAAGTGAGCTCTGTCCGAGCCCCTCCACTGTCCAAGCCTCCAACACAGCCCCTTCCGGCCGACGCAAGCCCCGCCGGCCATGGGCGGGCGAGTCCTGCGTGCGCTGCGTAGGGGGCGGCCGTGGGCCCGGTTCTTACCCGCTTCTGAGAGGTCGCGCAGGGAGCTGCTGAGGGCGCTGCGCTTGAGGCCCTCGCCGCTGGCGTAGCTGTCATCCAGGCAGGCCCGACTCAGTGTCCCGCCGCCCGGCTCCTTTTTGAGGCTGGAGCACTGGGACATGCTGGGCCGTACGACGCCCTTCTGCTTCTCGAGCTCCGCTGGAACAGAGCCCGAGGGGCCCAGTGAGGGGAGGATGGCCCCCAGCCAAGGGTGGCTTGGAGAGGGCAAGGGGCTGGGCCCCCCCGGAGGGCAACGCAGAGGACTCGGAGGGCCCTCTGCTCAGGGTGGCACCGGGCTGAGCCGCCACCTCCTTCCAGGGGGCAAGTGAGGGGCAAGGTCGTCTGGGAAAGGGCAGGAGTGACGGCACCTGTGACCAAAGGGGCCGAAAGGAGACCCCAGAAAGGAGGCTGGAGAGGCCAGAGTGCCCGAGGTCTGCAGGAAGGTCAGTCACTTTCCTAGGAGGTGGATTTGCCCGCGTCTGGAGAGGAGTTAACCCGGCCTGGCTGTGGATGGAGGCCAGGGGTGGGGGCACCCATGTACCTCCAGGAATGAGGCTTAGAGCCAGGAGAAGCGGGGGTATCATCGGCTTTAATGAAAACCAGGGGATGGCCCTAGCCCTGACCCCTCCGGGTGGTCGGGTGCAGGAGACACAAATACCAACCATGCTCAAGTGCAAAGGGCTCAGGTCCAGGGCTCTGGACACGGGGTGACCATGGCTCCGAGAGGCCCCCCCCCTCAGGGCACACGATGTAGTTCCCCGGGCAGGACAGGCCTGGGCCTTGGAAGCCCGGCTCCCACCCAGAGAACCCTGCCCACCCCTCCTTCCTCTGTGCCGCCTCCCGTGACCTGGGCAGGTGGGCTGCCTGGTCACGTGGCCGTGGGAAGGCCAGAAGAGGCCGAGGGCGTCTCACCTCTGGGCTTACAGGGTCACTGCAGCCTGGCCTCTCACCCCCGTCTTGGCCCCCAGATGGGAGGCCACGCCTGCACCCTGCAGGCCCCCGCCAGGCACCCGTGACTTACTCTCTATCCTGTGCTTTTCCATCTCCTGCACCTCCGCGATGGACTCCCGCAGGTCATCAGTGAATTTCTTCCGGTCTTGAGGATTGGGAGCGTTAAAGTTTATTAGCACTTTGAGGTCTGCTCCGGGGACGGCGGATGTGAGCCGGATGCCATTGGGGTAATCTGCAGAAGAGGAGCAGAGCGCGGGCCTCAGGGCGGGCCCTGCCACCTCCCTTCCGGCTGGCAAAGGACCAGCGGGTCTCCGTTCAGCCGGGGTGTGGGAGCACGCTGAGGCCAGGCTCCCAGAGGACGCATCCCTCCAGGGAGCAGAGGCTTCACGGTGCAGCCCGGAGGGACCACCAGGCAGCCTCTGCCTCCTGACCCGGGTCTGTGTTTGCTCCGTGTTCAAGCCGAGGGCAGATCCGACTGATCTGAGGCAAAGCCAGGGCCCTCGTTCTTCCCACCGGAAGGGCGTGGAGCCTGGGAGGAGGCGGAGGTGGTGTCCCCGCTGGGGGACAGTCTTATCCAGTCACTTCGGACTCTTCTGTCCTCTCCCGACTGGTCTCCAGGCCCCCAGCTCCCTTGGGGTACACTGTGGGCACCCCACACCCAACAGAGCCTTCTGCTCAGACCTGCCCGGTGCCTCCTCCGTGCTCTCGGGGGTCTCTGGGGCTTTGGCGTACCGGCAGCCCCTCCCCTCAGTGGGAATCGAGCATCCACCACTGAGTGTATGAAGGTTCTTGGCCCAAACGCCAATCCCATCACGGTTCAGGCGTGGGTCAGGGCTGGGACCTCAAATGCCTAGAGGCCTGTGTGGGTTTCCTCAATGCAGGAAGCGGGCAGGGTAAGACTGCGGCTGCAGAGTCTGGGGAGGGTGTGCAGCCCGCTACTGCCCGCCATCCGCCCAAACCTAGAGCCACGGATACCTGAACCTTATGGGAAGATGTTAGTATGAGCTCAACGAATTTAAAATAAAGTTCAAATATAACATAACTGAGCTGCGACCGACCAGGGGCTGCCAGCTTGAGACCCCGGGTGAGAGGCATGTCCTACAGAAGGTCGGGGTCGGCTCTCACCAGCACCGCGTCCAGGGCTGAGGGCTGAGCCCTGGGAACCTGAAAGCGGCCTGCGCGCGGCCTCTGCCTGAGGACTCAGTCTGCCCGGGCTGCTGCTGGGTGGTCACTACCACCGCCACCCCTTCCAAGAGGGGCCTGCCGGTCAGGACAGTGCGCATGGCACCAGCCTCCCTGGTGCTGCCTGGGAGAAACCAAGGCAAGGCCGGCCTTCCGGCCTGGGGTGGAGTGATGGCGGGGTCTGCATCCTGAGCTCCTCATAGGCACGTGAGAAAAGGGGAGGAGCTGGCAGGTCCAGTCCCTTTTAGCACAGAGAAGCCCTCAGGCCCCGTGTTCTGGGATGGCCCAGCCACGGGTCCCTGGCACCTTTCAACCTGCAGAGGGAAGGCGGACAGGACAGGACCGCGGGACCTTGCTGCTGGACACGCCCCGACGCTCCATTGTGGCGGCCCTTCCCTTGGCTCCTCTGGAACATGGGGGGCAGCAGGACGCCCCCCCACCCCACCCCAGGAGCACTGGCTCAGCCCGCAGCTCGAGGTCCTCCGACACGGAGGGGGCAGAGAGGGAGAGAGGAAAAGGGAAGGGCGTGGGTGGCGGGAAGACACAAGCCCGAAAGGACCCGTCAGCGGGGTTGCAGGGGCGGCCAGCTCCCCTCCAGGATCCCCAGGCCCAGGACCCACTCACACCCAAAGGCCCGAACAAGCACCGCCCCTGGGCCACAGGCTGTCCTGGCCTTTATGTGCACGGCCTCATCTCATCCTGAGGCAGGCACTACCATCACCCCATTGATGGACCAAGGGAACCGGGCCGGAGAGGCCCAACAGCCGGAACACCTGCCGCTGAAACCTGAGCGGATGGACCGGGCCTCTGCTCGTGACCTCTGCCTGCAGTCTCTCCGGCACGACCCTCACCTGATTGTCTGGCCATATCTGTACATCACCCGTGCCACTTACTCGATGTTTTCCTATCAACATTTTATCACTCTGCACTAAATTTAAAGATCTTATCACCTGCAAGAAGTGACGGTGAGAGTAAACCCGATGAGTCCTACATACAATGATGCTGAATTCTCCCTCGTCCCCCCCCAGCCGGCAACCTGCCCTCTGTTGGGAAAGTGGGAATGAGGACACCGGAGAGGCCACCCTGGGGTCGCCCCTGATGCAGCCGGGAGCAAGAGGAGAGCCTCCTTGCTACGCGGATGGGCCAGGCGAGGCCGCCGCCTGCCACGGGGTGCGGGCCATGTGCGGACGGGCCCGGGGGTGCACTCACGCTGGCTCTCGAAGAGCAGGGCCTGCATGCCGTGCAGGGGGAAGGCCTGGCGGAAGCTGTACGTCACCGCGTTCCTCTTCTTCTGGAGGATCTTGGTGACCTGGGGGCAGCCAGACGCAGAGGCTGAGCCGCGGGGCCGCCCGGGGCGCTCAGGACCCGCACTGGGCCCACAGCTCGAGGTCCCCCGTGCGAGGACCCTCCTGCGGTTCCAAGGTCAGGAGGCCCGCGGGGCGGGGCCGACACAGGGACGGACACTCACACCCGACACCGCCATGCACGGCCCAAAGGCACCGTGAGACCCTCTGAGAGATGAGTTCTACAGAGAAGGACACTGAGGCCAGAGGTCTGAAACGATCTGCTCAGGGTCAGGAACTCTGAAAGGACTTGGACCCTCACGCCTAGATTCCAGCCTCGGGAACCCGAGAAGAGCAGCTGGTCCTCAATCAGGTGGGGAAAGGGGATAGGGTCTCGGGCAAGAAGGGGGCCTGCAGGAGGCAAGAGCTCCAAAGGGCAGGCCCCCTGCTCCTTGCGGGAACATCTACACCTGTGCTACCTGTTTCGGGGCAAGAGGTCAACTTCCCTTTGGGGAGCCCACCTCTGCCATGTTCAGCCCATTAGTCCTGGGGCTGAGACCCAGGCCAGCGAGACAGCACCGCTCCCGCCTGGCCCCAGGGACGGGCTTGGGCAGCAGCGAGACCTCTGCTCAGTCTCGGGAAGAGGACGCCCCCGGCGGCCGAGGGGACAGGATTAGGCCCAGACCTCCGGAGGCCGACTCTCCCTTCCTGGATCAGCCTGCCTGAGGTGGGAGGCCAGGCAGCCGACACCGGGCGCAGCCGGGGCCACTCTCCCAAACCGTTCTGGGGTCTGCACACCCAGCCCCTCACCCGTGGGGACCACGTACCACCAGGAGGTCATTGAACAGGAAGATTTCTCGCTGGTGCAGCCCAAGCTTCTGGGGCTTATTTGGGTCTGGAACCTCGAAGAGCCGGCAGTAGCAGACCAGGCGCCGGTGCGGCAGCGAGAGCACCTGTGTGGAGGGGCGGCGTCAGCTCCGCGCACCCGCGGGGACGAGGGACTCCCCCACCCTGCCCTCCCTCGGGCCTCCGGAGGCCCCTGCTCCAGGGAGACCGCCTTCCGACTCCTCTCAGCACTGGGCTCGTGGAGCCCCCGCCACGAACCACGCGTATCTTCTGAGCCCCCAAAGCACCTGTCATGTGCGCCCCGAGCCACACACATAGGAGGCTGCAGAGCCCGGGCTTCCCCGCCCCCAGGCCCTCCCTCCTGAAGGCTCTCAGCCCCGACAGCTGGGTCTGGGGGAGCCCTGCGGGGTCCCAAGCTGGCAGTCACCACCTCGAGGGGCTGGTCCCTGCCCTCCGCACACGCAGCCGTGGGCACACCCGGCCCTACATGGGGCTGCTCTCCAGGCCCGAGCTCAGCGACCCACAGATGAGAGGGAGGGGACACCGGCCCAGCCTGGGGCCCTCAGGGGGCAGCGCTGTCCGTAGCAGAGTGTGAGTGAGAAAGGAGGGCAGGACGCAGGGCTGGGGAGGTGGGCGACGGCAGGTCACGGGCGTGCCGGGGGTCTCAGGCCCTCTGCAGGGGCAGCTGACCCGGCTGCCAGGGTCGGGTAAGGAGCAGACCACATGACGGCCAGCAGGCACACTACTGCCAGCCCTGGCGGCGAAAGGGACCCGGGAGGCACAGCGTGGGCTGGGTGGGGAGGGGGAGGCCTCAGCGCCACACCAAGGTCATCTGTTCAGGCACAGGGTCTCGGGGCCGAGGGACAAGCGGGATCTCTGAGCTCAACCGGGCCCAGACAGGACGGGAGGGGACCACCTGCTCTGGGCCTGACAGCACAACCCTCCCGCGTGCTCGCAGAGATCTGAGGTGGAGATAACTGTGAAAATCAAACTTCTTATGGCTCCGGAAATTAACTCATGCAGCCAGAACTGCGGGTCTGGGAGCCGCAAGCTGCGGGGGAGTGGGGATCACGGAAGGCGGAAGCCGAGGGGAACTCACACAGCCGAGCCCGTGGTGCAGAGATCCAATCTACAGGGGGAAGCAGTGAACAAACAAGAAGGGATGTTAATGTTCCAAATACACATCTGGGCCCAGACACAGACTCCGGGGGGACACCCCACCCACAGCGCCTCCCAGGGCACCCCCAGCGGGCTCTGACGGGGAGCCCAGGCCGCCGGGGAGCCACTGCACAGCCCCGGCCATTGGTTTATTAAGAGCCTCAGATTCTCGTCAAAGGGGACCCAGAGAGAAGGGTTGTGACTCCCTTAAAAAGCCCCAAACCTGACATAATCCACCAACCCCACCTGGAAGAGAACAGGTTCCAAAGGCACTGCGGCTACTGGCCAAAGCCGAGCCAGCAGGGCAGCCTGGGGTCGCGGGGCGGGTGGGTCTGGGGCACCCTGGGCCTCGCGCGGCGCCCGCCCCCAGCCCGCCCCCGGTGGGGACGGAGACCACCTACCGGCTTCTTCCCCACGATGAGCTTCTCCACCTTCTGCACCTGCGACACGTGGTCCTCGTTGGTCTCCAGCTCCCGCTTCCGGATCCGCTCGTAGATCCCGATCAGCATCTCCCGGGGGATGTCCTCCCCATCGTCCACGCCTAGTAGGGGACAGCGGCAGGGCTCACCCCAAGGCACCGGCTTCTAAACCAAATCCGGACAGCGGTCCCCCTGCCAGTCCCCAGCTGAACCAAAGGCCTCCAGACCCACAGCAGCTGGCCCTGCCCTGTCCACCACACGTGTGCTCGGAGCCTCCGCACCAGGGACCAGGCTGGCACTGCCCCCGGATGAGTGTGGAGGGGCCTGTGCCACCTTGCAGCCCCGCCCAGGGGTCTCAGGAACACACGGCCCCGCTCGATCCCGGCCGCCGCCCCATGGGGCGGGCACCACGGTCCCCATTGCACCGACGGGCTGGCGGGGGCCTGGGGATGGGGCTGGGGTGCAGAGAGGCTGTGCGGATGGGGCTGCCTGGCCCGCATCCTCACTTTGCCCCTTGTCGGCCTGAGTCACGGTCTCTCTGAGCTACGAGTCCTCTCCTCAGTGACACAGGCCACCAAGAGCACGGTGACTTTACAGGGACCAGGGTAGCTCACGGGGCCACCCCCACACCCCCGACACGAGAGCTCAAGGGGTCTGAGTGGCTGCTGTCCCAGTTCTGGGACTTGAAGCCGGGTCGCTCTGACAACAAGCTTGCGCCCTTTCTGCTGCACGGCCCCAAAAGTGCTGTCAGGAAGTCCCAGCCCCGCTCACGACAGAGACGCAAAGCGCCCCCCGCCCTCAGTGTGCAGGCTGCTGGCGGTACGTGGGGCAGTGGGACGGCTCAAGCCCTCTGGTGGGCTGTCCGGCACCACCTGCCAGTCAGAAATTCAAACACCCTCGGGCCCACTGAGTGGATCTGGGGGATTTGTCCTGTGGGGCATGACATTCAACGCAGCGCTGATTCCAAATCGCAGAAAACGGGAGCTAACCCATCTGCACACTCACAGGGGACTGGCTAAGCGGTCCGCATTCGAGGACTCCTGGGACAGGGAATACCGTACGCCCGCAGGAACGAGGAAGGCCCCGGCGAGCCTTGGCAACGGCCCTTAGATTTACCGAACCAAGGAGTGAGGCGCCGAGCGGAAGAGGGTCAACCCAGCCACGCACGTTTGTACCGGCTCCCACGGGAAGTTCTGCGTGGCACAGCAGGGACTCGAAGCCGATGACCTCCAGGGATGGGAAGGGCCCTGCCGTGCACCTTTTATGCTTTCTGGCTTTTTTCTAATTGGCTATTTTTCAGAGCAGTTTTAAGGTCATAGCAAAATTCAGGGGAAAGCACAGAGAGCTCCCATATACCCTCAGCTCCCCGACAATCAGCACCCCGACCAGAACTCTGCCTTCGTTACAGCTGAAGAACCTACACGGACACGTCCCAGTCACCAGAGTCCACGGTTCGCACGAGGGTTCACTCTTGGTGTTGTCCACCCTATGGGTCTGGACATATGGACGATGCCATGTGTCTGCCATTATAATACCGTACAGAATTTTCACTGCCCTAAAACCCCCTGTGCACTTCTCCTTTTCATCCCTCCCCCACGACCACTGGCAACCACTGGTCTCTCGACCGTCTCCACAGCTTCACCTCCTGCAGATGTGGTGCAGCTGGAATCAGGGTGCAGGCTCTCAGATAGGTTGCTTTCACTTAGCGATGTTCCTTTAAGGTTCCCCCGTGTCTTTTCATGACTTGGTAGCTCATTTCTTTTCAGTGCTGAATAATATCCCACTGACTGGATGGACCAAGGTTTATCCATTCATCTACGGAAGGACAGCTTGGTTGCGTCCTAGTTTTGGTGAATACGAATAAAGCTGCTATAAACATCAGTGTGCAGGTTTCTGTGTGGACCTAAGTTTTCAGCTCATTTGGGTAAATTCCAAGGAAGGCAACTGCTGGGTCATGTTACTTCCTGGTTTTTGAACTATGTGAGGATAAGACCCATTCAAAATACACATTCAAAAAATCTGAAGGCAAATAGCAATAAGAGCAAAATATCGCTTGCCTGGCTTCCAGGTTCCTCCCCTGCCTATCCCTGAACTCCCAGAGGGCCCCCTGCTGCTGGACCCACTGGGCACACTGAGCAATTCCAGAGAAAATGTGTGTCCGGTGCACGTTGGGGCAGGGGGGCACTCTCTAAAAAGAACAAGCTGGGACGTGTGCTCAGCGCAGAGTGCCGACCTGGCTTTGGGAGGCCAGCGTCCTGCCTCCTCTGACACACACTTGCTGTGTGACCTTGGGCAAGTCCCCTCCCTCTCTGAACCTTCTGAAGCTCAAGGAAGATGGGGCAGAGAACGCTAGAGTCCCTGGCTTGAAGAAAAGAGGTGATTGGTGGCAACGGCCCAGGCTCGCGAGAAAGAATCAGTGGCTTTCTCTCCTGGTTCTGGGGTGCTCAGCCCCTGCCCTGGGACCTGGGGTGACAAAGCCCCCGCTCCCCCAGACTGCCGGGATGGCGGATGCAAGGATGCGCACAAACCATGAAGCCGCAGATATGAGGGCGGCCGACCGGCAGGTATCTGACCCAGCAGCCCTGTCTTCCCCCGAGCCTCTGTCCACGGGCCTCGTTTCTGTCTCATTTCTCACACAGGAGAGGCCCCGGTTACATGGCTGAGCTGCTAAACCAGAGAAAAAAATCGGAGTCCCTTAAGCTCCCCAGGGTGGCCAACAGCACGCAGCTCACGGCCAGCTTTCCCGGCAGCTACACAGCAGCTGCCTGCATCCAGGGCCACGGGGACGCTGTGGAGACCAGACCAGACTAGGCCCAGCGAGGAGAGGGGCTTGAGGTGGCAGAGAGGAGGCGAGGGGGTGCAGCTCCCCGGACCATCAGTGTCCGCTGACCGCCCTGCTCCCTCACCTGTTCTGGCGACTGGATCTGCTATTAACGAGGTTCCTAGGAACCACAGCTAAGACCTGCCCCTCCCCGGGGCCTGCGGAGGGCCGGCACGGGGAAGGCCCTGAGCCCAGCCTCCTGCGGGACCGCCTGTCAGGGTGGGGCCCACCCCCAGGGAGCGCCAGCACAGACCCTCCACTCTGGGGGACGTGACAACGGAGCAGTTTTACAGAAATGAAGAACAAAATGAGAAATTTAAACAGCTCGAACGGTTGGACTTGATTCAGATCAGTTGTTTCCCTTTTACAAAATTATGATGCCGTTTCTAAGGGGACTTCAGTCCCTTACAGCTGCTTCCCAACGAGAGGGACGGCGCCCCAGCGCGGGACTCCACGGACAGGAGGGACCTGCCGGCAGCAGACACGGAGACAGCCGTGCCCTCTTCCGCCCCTCTCCTGCCTGACGACACAGGAGGGAGCCTCCGTGTGGCTGCCCAGCCCCTGGCCACCTGCCCCGCATGGGCCACCTGCAGGGAGAAGAGGGCCGCCCAGGAACAGCTTGGCTGGAACCCACAGCGGTTTTGCCTTTTCACTGCACTCGTTTTCGTAAATGATGCCCACGTGTGACAAATGCTACCGGTTTCCCGCTTACAGTGATGACATAAAGTTCCTTTTAAAAGTACATACGTTTCATAAGAAGACAAAAACAAAAAGACAAGCCTGTTCCAAGAGGACCACTGAGGGAGGGGTGTGGTGGGCGATGCTGTGTGGGCAGCAGCGATGGGGGCCGGACAGTGCCAGCCCCCGCCCAGCCCCCATCCCGTCCCCACCCCCCGTGCTCGGAGGCCCCGGGGGCGCCCAGCACCCAGCTCGTGGTCCATCCTCCCTCTGCCCCTGCAACCAGGCCTGGATCCACCGTGTGTAGCCCGGCCCCGGGCGCTGAGCCCAGCTGCGCTCTCAGGCCTCTGCGCTCTGGCGCCCTGGGCCTGCGGAGCCCTGCAGTCCTCCCGCGCGGAGTGCCCCCGCCACGGCATTCAGCGCCCTCTACGGGAACCTGCGCTGCGTGGGCTCCTTCGGGGAGGAGCCCCCCCCCCCCCCGGGGAGCCGGGCCCGGCCAGCCCTCGGAAGGGG